GTACCTGCCCTACAAAATAAGGATTTAATCACATGATAGCCAGCATATGGGAATATCCTTTTGTTGATCATGGAGGTTGCATGTCTTACTCATTAGCAGATTGAGGAAACTAAATTAAGGCCTTAACACAGGAAGTCATATTTTCCATGAGATGTATTCAGTAGGACATTGCTGTTTTCCAAAAATTCCTAATGGAATTAGAAAGAAAAAACATTCTTTTTACCGTCTTTATCTAAAAATTATAAGAAAACAATCTTATGATGGTAAATTTTCCTCAAGGTCGCTAGAGATTGATCAAAGTCCAAGTTTACTATTACCAGTGTGTAAACACCTTGGTATAGACAGGCCAGTTTGGTGATGGTAAATTTCATGGAAGATATAACTAGGTCTATTTTCCAAAGTATGCTTACCCAAGCAAACAAAGTAAAAAAACATTACTAGAATGAAAATAAGAAGAGATTAAATAAATTAGAAAGCTGCTACTTTGCAAAACATGGGGAATTCTCTCATCTCTACCAATGTACATGGGAGGGAAAAGTACTGGTATGGAGTCTCCAAAGAATTTTATTTTTGGTGTGTAACTGGAGATTATAACCTTCATTTCACTGCATCCTATGGCACACATTAATGTAACTGGAATCCAGCATGTATATGCAATAGCCAGTAGCCAAGCAATCAACTCATTGTTCACAGAAAGTATACAATTCTGTGTTTATCTCTTTGTGTGATACAGCAGGAGAGAAATCTGGGTCACCTGCATTTCCTGAGTCAGTGCATCACTTAAAAGCTGCAAATGCTCCACTTTTTTTACAACTACAACTTTTGCTACAAATCTTGTGTATAAAAAAAACTTTCACGTGTTTCATATTTTGCATTTTACCTTATCTGAAAATAAAAGAAGAATTTGCCTTATCTCTAAATCAACGTAGAAATACCCTTAAACCACTAAAAATGCGGTAATGTGTTTATGTAATTAAAAATTAAATTTAATGTGACTTTATTGCTAGCATGTGCTAATTATATTTTGAAGTATGGAGATAGAGGCCATCTGAGATTTTAATTCAGGATTTCATGTATACAGAGATGGATTCCTCAAAATTAGCAAGATGAGAAGAAACATTAATTCCTGCTAATTTAGTTGTGTTTCTGCTATATTGTTAATTAAGAAACTAGAACTACTTGAATTATCCTCTCTGGGCTTATCTATATTGCAGTAAAAAAATGTCATTTAGTTCCAATATTACTATGAAAAATCAAATTGACTCTGTTTAGAGGAGTTCAAAGGTTTACAGCCTATAATAATTTCACCTTGTTTATTTAACTCTTGAGAAGTGTGCTTGTACTGGTGTTAGATATGTTTTGGTAATGTTGACATATTCCCTCTGAAATAAGAGTAATCATGATTTTCCTGGCTTTACTTCATGCTTATACAGAGGAAGTCAGGATTGTACTGAGGTAAAGAAATAAATTAGGTTATTCCATAGAAAATCTGCAGGGATTGAGGTGGAAATTACACTTGCATCTTTGGCTGCTTTTGCTCTGCTGTGGGATGAAGATCTGATCTTGCTGCCACAGAGATGTATCATTTTTTGTCCAGTTTCCACAGCCAATATCCCAGGTTGTACATTTGAAGGACAAATAAAGTAGAAGTAGACAGATCTACAGTAAAAACTGTCTTTCAACATCTCCATCACAAGGGAAGTGTCAATAGCCTGAAAAGTAAAAGACTTATGGACAGCACAATGATTCGTTTCTTTCTATGGGAAGGAAGATGACAAGGAACAGATTTTCAGCTGCTGATGAAACTTTTCCATCTACTGGGCAATACAGCTGCCAAGAAATGATGAGAGGCAGGATATGATACACAGCTCATAGTCCCTATCCTCCACCTGCACAAAATCCAGGCTGCACACCACAGACCTCTTGGTAATGTTGCAGGCATCCATCTGTCAAGTAGAACTTTTCTCAGAATTAGTGTCCTAGGCCAAATTAATCCCCGAGATAATTCCATTGTGATTTGTCTAAGGAAATATCAATTACTGTGAATGGAAGGATGATCTCATGATGAAAGCAAATGAAAGACTTGGAATCATGGCTGGGACCTTGGATAGATTCCTCTTCTGCTGTAGGGTTCTCATATGATTTGGATAAACTGATACAAATGCCAGTTGCCTTGATTTCCATCTGTAATAAAATAAGGTTAATTCTAATTTACTTCCAGAGCCATCTTTTAAGAATCTGTATTTCTTTGAAGCTGTATTTCTAGCTGTATTCTTTTTTTGATAAAAAGAAGTAAAAAAAAAAAAAAAAAGCCCAACCTAACAAAACCAAACCAAACCAAAAAAATTCTAAAAACCAAAAACCAAAACAGGCATATTGATATTTTTATAAAGCATGAGCAAAACAGTAAGAGGATCATGTTCTGGGAGATGACAAATAGACATATCTGCATTTAGTAAATTTATACTGTCAACTTATTCTGAACAAGAAAGATTAAAAACTCTTTTTGATCTCTCTTTAAGCTATCTCAAAGGACATGGTAGATAAATATGCAAAGCAGATTAGGATTAGTCTAGAATGAAGTAATATTAAGAAAATAATCCTTGAAAATTCAAGAGACTAAAAATTACCTTTTTCTCTGACACTGAGATATGCTCACCTCTGAGTCATACAAATGCTCCTGCATGTTTTGTGCATATAAGAAACTTCCCTTGAACAATCTTTTTTTTTTTTTCTCTGTAGAGAGAGTCTGCATAATTAGATTAAGTCAAGTTAAAAATGCATTGGTTTTCTCTCTCCCTTTCTCTCCACCTCTCTCTCTCTCCAGCTCTGTAGCAATACTCTAGCTCCACTGACTGATCTAAAGTAGGAACTGGTGCCTCCCAGAAATGTACATCCTTAAGAAATGTGTTCAGTTAAAATCTCTTCCAAGTACTGATGCAAGTCCTGTGTGTGCTTGTTTTTCCTGCATCTGTTTAATTTTTACTGTCATATCTACAATATTTCATACAGATTTCCGTGAAATTTTACAGCTTTGGAGTTGCAAAATATTTTTACTTTGGCTGTCATTGCTGACATTATTATTGTCATAACCCTAGCAAAACAAAAACAAAACCAAAAATGAAACAAACAAAACCATACCAAAACCCAAAAGCAATTTCTTAGAGAAAGCAGAAATACTGGTGTCTTTGAAGATTAACATGATCTTGTTAGCATGAAAGGAAAACAACAGCTTGGATCCTAGTCCACAGAATCCAACAACATTACCTCTATGGATCAGTGACTAATTGTGAAAGCAGCACTTGGCTAAAGCATTCTCCTCTACTCCTCTTTCTCCACTTTTGATCAAATAAAATAATTTTTTTCCTTCCTTAGATAACACCAGTTTATTCTTGACTGCATGAGTATTTCAAAATGGACCGAAGTTTATATTTCTGAAGTTCATTAAGCTACATTTTTGGGTGTCATTTAGATTGTTCAAAATTAGGCACAGTATGTTATGATATTTCTTTGATGGTACCTGAGCATAAGAACTGGCAAAAAAATGAAAAATTCCACTTAATTATTCCTATAGTAACATTTTATATCCAGTTGCCTCATTCTAATCAAAACCCCTAGCAGCTTTCAAGGGGTTAGACTTTATCTTCTCAGATGCTTTAAGGAAGTTGGCACAAATATTTTTTACAAGCTCCAGCAAATGAACACAGTGTATAGAAATTGAGGTGTCTAATCTAATCTAATCTATTGAGGGATCTGTACCACATGCATTACCTTGACATTTAAGGTCTCACAGTCAGTGACAAGTTAACGAAATCTGTCACTGTGACAGAAATGTATTTCTACGTGCTGTGACACAACTTGATCTTTCAGGCACCATTTAGGTGAAATCTCTTGTAGCATGGTGACTCAGAGTCCATAATGTCTTTAATGAAGAAATTTCCCAACTGGTATTAAAACAAATAACTTTGATTGTCATATTTGCAATAAAGCAAAACAAAGTGAATTTGTCTACTAGGCTCTACACAGTAGATCAGCTGTTAGACTACGTAACTCTAGTTATCTTCACAATTACTGTTGTTATTATTATGTGTTATTACAACCCTACACCTCTCTTCCCTGGCACCACAGCCTGTGACTTTCTGGAGGTGAAGACTGTTTTCAAAATATCTGCTTAATGACATATCTGAACTTCTAAAATAGTTCTTCTGACACCTTGTGGTTCCTGTACATTACATTGTAAATCTGCTATCAGAATGTTGTCTGATATCTCTCAATGATACAGTAAAATATAATGTTGTTCATAACTACATGCATTTAATACTTTTAACTAACTCTGAGAAGGAATTCTATTATGATTCTTTTATGATTTCTATCCTTCTGTTTTCTTTTGTGGCATTGTTTAATCAGGGTCAATATTTTTTATATTCAAATTTTCTCCAGGTTTCTGCACTGGCTCTTTCTGGCCCAGTTTGTGGAGTTCTAGAGCTGTCAAGTGAGGTGCTACATGCACATATTGCCATCTGTATCTTTCTACAAAGTAGGCTATCTCCACTTGAAACAGCTCTTGCCACTGGGAGGAAACTTGCCCTTTGTTTCTACAAGAAACAAGAAATGTGTCTGCAAGATACAGACTTTGTAGATTCTTGTAGTGTAGATAAATCTACTTGGACAGGCTGGTTCCAGTCACCCTGGAGCACTGTGATGTCCTGGGGAACAAGCATTCTCTATACAGTCTACACATTTCATCCCACCCTTTCTTGACACTTGCTTTTATTAGACAGTGCCTGGCTTTGTTAAACTTTTTTTCCTGGAGGATCTATTTTGTTTCTAAAGCTTTTCTGCCAGAACTCATCTTCCCAAGTCTGTAGTCCTACTCTTTGAAGAAAAAATATATATGCTTTTGATTGATAACAAGAGGCTTCTGCCACTATGACTCAGCAGCAATTATACTGCTTTTTATGCAGTTTATTAGGATGTTCTACAGAAGGAGCTGTACAAACCTTGTGAGTGAATTCAGCAATTCCACTGCAGCAAGGAGGACTAAGTCACGATGACTGGGATCTTGGCAGTAGGTCCAGAAGGACATTGAGAATTGGTGTCTGAAAGGAAGGATCACAGGTTTTCTGATGAAGAGTATCAACTCTTTAAAATCTAAGTTACTATATTCAGTGCTTCAGGCTGAAAAGTTTAATGCCAGATCAATGTGATCTGCTAATGGGTTCAATAAGGCCCCCTCAAAGCTTTAATGTTCTAAAAAAAATGCACCCTCCCTGCAATTACTGACACTGATGGTGATAACACATTCCCTGAATATAAGTAGAAGCAGCTGAGATGTTTGTGACACTTGGGGCAGACTTCCCAGGAGCACTGAGCATTGCTTGAAAAGAGGTCTTAATGTACTTCTTATATTTTGAGGTTGCAAAGAATAGAATTAAATAATCATATAGGGAAGAAAGAAAACTAATTAAAAGTTCCCCAATTTATTAGACACAGCTTGATGAACAGACTCCCATTCTTCTGGGACAGCATGATGTGCCACTTGATGGAAATCATGAGGAAACAGTTACATAAAAGGACTGGCTAGCAGCAAAAAGAGGCAATGTTTTAAAATTTTTCCATAAAAAAAAATAATCAGCTGGGTGGACCCAAATCCTTTCCATGCCTCTGTATCTCATGAATTCTGGAAGATGGTTTCAGTGCATTATTTTTCATAGCTGGCTTTCCTTTCCAGTCTATTTATCTGTTCTACTCAAAGTGTGCATCTCTGGCTATACCCACCCCTCCTCTCGTGGGCAGCAGTTGCGGGGCTGTCCTGGGGGAGCACCAGCTTGCAGCACTCCTTGCCTTGGAGTGTGTTTGTTTCCGACCCTCTCTGCCAAGTTTAACTGTGAGCTTAACTGTAAACTAAGCTAAGCGCTCCCTATGGATGTTCACACTGATAGACGGCAGGCTGTGGGCAAGTGTGGAGCCGCTGCTCTGGCATCCCATCTCCAATATAGGTATAGCCTTTCTCTTCGCTACTAACCTGACCGATTTAGCACGGCCGAGTAAAAGGAAAAAAGGAGGGAAAAAGAGAAACAGGAAAACAAGGAAAATAAAGACGGGAAATGGAAGAAGAGAAAAGGGGAACAGAGAAAAATGGAAAAGAAAAGGGAAAAAAGCCAAAGACAAAACCAGAATGGACCAGGAAAACGGCAAAAGGAGGAAAGGGGAAGGAAAATAAGCCCTGATTGTGCCCAGCTGGCAGGGAGACACGGCCCAGCCGCGCCCCCGCAGCCGGAGCGGGCACGGGGCCGGCTCCGCCGCCGGCGTGCGGGGCGGGGCGGGGCGCGGGGCGGGCGCGGAGGGCGGTGCGGGGCGGGCCCGCGCGCAGGCGCGTGGGAGCCCGGGGCGCCCCACGCGGGCGCTCCCAGAGCCTCGGCGGCGGCGCCCGGCTCGGCAGCGAGGGGGGCGCGGGCGGAGAACGGAGCTGCGGCAGCGCCGGGGCGCCGCGGGAGGAAGGCGGGAGCCGGAGCCGCGCCCCGCTCCGCTCAGCCCCGCTCCGCTGTCGCCGCCGATCGCCCCGCTGCCATGGGGTAGGGGCGGCGGAGCGGGGGACGCCGTCAGGCTGTGGCCGCCGGCGGAGCGCGGAGCGGCGCCCCGCGGTGCCGGGGGGCGCGGAACGCGAGAGGCAGAGGCGGCGGGGCTGGCGGGGGAGGCCGGGCAGGGCAGGAGGCTGCCCCGGTGCGAGAGGCGGCGGCGGTGGCAGGCGGAGAGATGATCGCGGAGTTGTTGAGCAGCGCCCTGGGGCTCGCCCTGTACCTCAACACCCTGAGCGCCGACTTCTGCTACGATGACAGGTAGGGCGGGGAGCGGCGGGGCTGGGCGGGCAGGGGTTGCTCACCTGTCGGGAGCGGAGCTTCGGCCTCCCCCGTCCTGGTGCCCGGGGCTTTGTCGGCTCGGACTCGGTCCTCTCCAGCCCCACGCAGCGGGAGGGGACTCGCCCATCCAAGTTGGCATGTCCTGGGCTGGTCCCTTATGCGCGGTGTCAGCGGGGTGCCCGGCCGCCTCCCATCCCGTTCCCCCGCTCCGCCGGGACCGAGCACCCGCGGGAAGTTGCCGTGCGCTGCCGGGCTGCGCTGGGCGGCCGCGGGGAGCGTAGCGCCGCTGGGCTGGAGACCAGGCTGCCCACCTGCTCCTCTCCTGGCCGTACCTGCGGAAAGGCGCTCTTCTTAGTCGGGCGAAATTCCGATTTGTGCCTTTTCCGGTGACTTAATCTGATTGCGTTTAAAACAGATGCATAATTATAATGTATTATTAGGGAGAACAGCACGCCTGGCTAAACTTATTAACCGTCCTGGGGTGATTTATGCTCCATTGGAATTAAACCATCCAAAAAGTGAGCCGGGATTGACTTTGACAGCGTTTCATCAGCCTGTCTCCTCCGTGGCCAGAGACTGTCTGCCCCGGGGGCGGGTGCGCGGGGGGCTCCGCCGGGCCCGGCGCGTCTCTCCCGGGCACGTCCCATCCCGGCAGCGCGGCCGGGATCCTGCGGGAGCCGGCAGCTGGCCACGCGTGCGGGGCTGCCTGTGCGGCAGGGAGCGAGGAGTGCCCCTGGGTGGGTGTGTGAGCGGAGGGTCTTACGGCATGGCTCAGGTTCGCGGTGCCAGCGAACTCCCGGAGCAGCTGTCAGGCAGGGCTGGTGCCTTTGTTGTGAGAGGAGGAAAGGGGAGGAAGCACGGCGAGGTGGGGTGAGGGATGTGCCTGATCAGGATGCTGTTTGCTGCACGAGTTGAACTTTCCGGCGCGCTGTTGGGAATCGAAAGGGTCAGATGCGTCTTTGATTAGGCATTTGCCTTGGAAAATAACCTGCCTGTCCTGCAGTAATTAGTTACTAAACTTGGAATTTTCCTCCCTTAAGCGGTATTACAGTGCACCTGCCGTGTCGAAGATCTGTCACCGCTTCCAGAATACTCCCCGCTGTTTTCAAGGCTTGCTACTATTAAACCTATTATACTGGAAGCAAATGCCAAGTGTTAGTCCTGGTATAGGTCCCTGGCTGGGAGCAGAGTTGGCTGCAGAATGTGGCAATTCAGGCTTCAGCCCTCCAGGTCATTTACATGTACTTGAAGCCTTGTGAGCAATTAAGTGGTTTTAGGTTTCTATGAGTCTTCCAATTTTCTAAGTGATTTTTCTTAAACCTATTTGAAAGTTTTGAAGCCCCATTCATAAACAATAAAAGAGAAAAGTCTGCTGTTGCCCTGAAATATGAGGTCTGAGTTGGATCAATAGGAAGTAGTGAATATTTTGATACAGTGAGGCTATTTTAAGCCCGCTTATTATAGTTAAAACTGCTGGAGTTGTGGAATATTTACATAATCCTACATAGCATATATTGCAATGTTTGGGCAAAAACTGGGTTGTTTAAGCACACGGTTAAAAGCCTGTCCTGCAGGCCAGTTCAAATGGACTAGGCATGGAAAGCAGTATGAAGTACTTTCTCTTGATGTGGAGGTCAAGGTTACTCTTGATCTTGCCTGAGTGTGCTTTAATGCAGTTAGAAAAAAGAATTTGAGTGTCATCTCTGAAAGTGTGGAAAAGATAATCACACACAGATTTTGCTAGTACTAATCTCACACTGTTTAAAAGGTGTTCTGAAAGACTGCTTTGTTCATGTGTTTACCTATTAATTAAATAAAGTACTTCTCATCATTGTAGCTAAGATTTAGGCATTGACTAGAGTGCTCTGAAAGCCAGTTAATGCCATATCTGTATATAGGGTCATCTAATTAGGATGTTTTTCAATGGCAGCACTGGAAGGGACAAGGCAGAAGGGGCTGTTTTGTGTTAGTAATTGTTGAACTAGAAAGGGTTATCTATTCAAAGAGGTAGGCTCAGTCCCAAACTATTCTTTTAGCTGTAATCACAGAATTTTGCTGCCCTCCAGGAGCTGGCTTGAAATGTAACAGTAGAAAAGGAGGTTGATGCTGGAGCTGCAGGATACAGCCCTCCATGTAGGAGATGGATCGTGCTACTAACCTGAACTGAACTAAAATTGTGCATTTAAGCTGGGAACCAGTAATGTCTTGTTTCAGGAGGGCAGCATATTGCCATGATTTTGATTCTACTTCCTTTGCTATTATATTGAAATTACATCAACTGTTGTCTTTTTAATATAGTGATCAAACTTACTACATAAAGGGTGTCTGTAATTGCTTTCTATATTTTTTATGTAGGTTGGGCAAGATTAAGTGGCATCATAAAACTTCTTATAGCAAAATCAATTTTCCAATGGTAAGATGTAATATTTTAGCAGCAGCACGGCACCAAACTAAAGACTCTGGACAGTGATATAACAAACTTGATTGTAGTCTGGTCTTTGACTCTTTACCAAAGGATTCAATATTTTCTTTCCCACCCTTTACCCATTTAAACTGAAATAGCATGAATTTTAAGACTGAGGAAGCTGAGTGAGCAAATGTACATGTTCTTACTTTTTCTCATTAACTCATTTCTTTCAGGCTAAGCAGATATATTGCACATGATCAGTGCAGTCCCAATATTTTTAAGCAGTTGACTTACTGATTATTATGAATGAAAGTGATGAAAGTGTCACTTGTCAGTTTCTAGTCAGTTTCAAAACACAAGAGCCAGTGTTGTTGGATGTTTTTGGTGTTTTATTTTGTTTGGTTTTTTTTTTTTGGTCTGTAGATGTAGACCTAGAAAACAAAGCTTTTGCCACCCTTGTTCCTGCCACTGTAGTTCTTACAGGCAGCTGTGATATTTCCTAGTTATGTGTGTAGATTATTACTGAGAGTTTCACCTCCCTTGCTCAAACCTCCTTGTTCAGCTAGGAGCAAATAGATATATTTTCCCCCTCTTTTTACTTATTTATTTGAAGCTGTATGTGATATGTAATAACCCAAAACAAGAGATGAATGAAGAAGGGGAGGGGGGGTGGTATTTGATGCCAAAGTAGCTCACATTGCTTTTTAATAAACATTATTTATTGTTAAGCAAAATCATATTGAAACTGGTAGCATGGGAGAGAGAAATGCAATTTCCATTCCTGCAGATGTGTTGAAGATATTACTTGTTGCACTGTGTAAAATCCAGTTTCTTGCCAGATTAAGGAGGGGCAAATCTCTTCACACACAGTTAGTGTTTCATGCTAGTATCTACCAATATTACAGGAAGGAGACCCATTGCTACAATTAGGTTTACACATAGACATGACCATTTTTGCCTACCATTTAAGCCCCACCAGCCTACCTGGCAATTTGACGTGCAGGTGCCTTACACTGAAGCTGTCATCCTTCAGCCTGTGCTGACTGAGACAGGGCACTGTCAGTTTATAGCTGGGGAGGGGAAGATTTAGTGCTCTGCGTATCTGAGGTCATGCATTGTTACTGTGGACATGGCGAAAGGAGCTCATCTATTGAGGTGGTCCTTTCTTCTAAATCTCAAAAGAAAGGCATATTTTAGGGAGAGTATAGTAGAAAGCTTTAACCTTGAGTGATGTATTGTCTCAGTGACACATTGTCAAAATCAGTGTTCTGGAAAATGCGTACAGATTTGTACTCTGTCTGTGTAGGGCTCTTCCATGAAATTTGGTAGCACAGACCAGGTTTCTCTAGCTTACACTGCATTTTATGTAGCAGGCCTGAATGGGGCAGCCTTGCTGGTGGTAGAAAATATCCATTAGCCCTGTTTCAAAGTTGCTGAGCAATATTCCAGACTGTGTTGAAAAAATCCTGTTAAATGTTTTCACCCTGTAGTGTCAGACTTGCATCATTTTAAAACAGGCTGAGCCCATACACATTTGACAGGACCTCTGTTGGGTCTGCCACATGGGATTTAATCTAGCAAGTGACCCAAATACATGCACTAGAAGAACAAGTGTAAGTGCACTGGGGAAAATTACTTGCCATCTGTCTCCTTGTTGTGTGTGTATATTTGATTATTAGTTTACATTTGTGATTTTTATGGCCCTTTTTTGCCATCTCAATTTTTCAGCTCCAAGCACACCTCTCCAGTAGCTTTTAGTAGCTCCATTTTACAGGTAGCTGCAATCTTCTGAATTCCAGGAGTGAAGCTGGTGATGGGGACTTGTGTGCTTTCTTTATAGTGTTTTCCCTTTGTCCCCTCTGTTCCATCTTCTGCATGCTAATTTCAAACCACCATAAAGATAATTTTTATTTGAAACAGGAGTTTTAACATATTCATAAAGGAGTAAAGGTAACTCGGAGAAGATGCTTGAGTAACTTAGGCTGTGTAGTAAAGGTTTGTAGTTGAGTTTGTGTTGTAGCTGAACATTAGCCAAGTGAACTGGTAACTGATTGCCTAATGGGATGAACCTGGCACAATCATAGTCTATTAATACCAATTCTTTTTAAAATGCTGAACATAATCTAAATATGTATTCAGCTTTTGATTTAAAAATGGTTTCTGCATAAAAAATTATGTTGAATAAAACACTCTAATCCAAATGTGAAATCTTAGTTCCATCAAAATATTGATGGGGGGTTTGTTTTGGTTTTTGGGTTTTTTTTTCCATTTGAGATGCTCTAGTATAGAGATTTTAGAAAGTAAAAAAGAAATTACGTCCCCACTGGCTTTATTTTAAGATTCTTGTTGCATATGTAACACTAACATAAAGCATGTCACTTCTGGTAGCTGGTTCAGAGAATAAATTAATGCTGGTTAGCAGACAGAGAATCTCCCCGAGTCGCTGATGTGATGTGCCTCATCTGCAGGAAGTTCTTCCAGCACACAATGGAGTTACAAATTCAAATGATCAACTTTCTCCAACATCTCCCATATGTATTCCAGCTGCACTTCTGAATCCTTTAAGTTTGCCAGAGCGAAAGTCGTTGAAAGGCTCAGAAGTATCTCATCTCAATTTGTTAACCATCTGATAGCTGCAAGAGTGATGAATTGGAGCTCCTTTGCTTCCCTCATCTGGAAGTTTGCCCTTCCCTTGTTGTTTGCTGCTAGGTTTGTTTCTTTCTTTTATTCTTTTTTGCTGTGAAGTTGACTGAATCAGACTTTGCTGTTTGTTTATTTAGTTTCTTTCTTCAGCTGAAATATTTGATGCTGAAACTGATGCAAGACAGCTGGCAACCTGTGGTGAGAGTTACTGCAAAAAAAAGCTGGAGAAACGAACTAAATCTGAAGGCGGAGATGCTTAGTGTTATTGTTACTTATGTAGCGGTGAATCTGTTCTTTGGGTCAGTGTTTTATGTTAGATTTTTAAAACATTTTATTTCTGAATATTTTATAGCCTTTACTTAGATTTTGGGATAACTGTGTTTTGTTGGAAAATAAGCCTTTTGAAAATACCCATTTCCTTCTCTGTTCTTTTAACCCTAATTTTTGTCTGAAATGGTTGTTTAAAAGGTGGAAGCATTTTATTTGGAGACCTGAACCTTATGATAACAGTTTTAAAATAAATTTTGAAATTTCTCTTGATCGTGGAACCTATTGTTTGCCTTAGGGCTTGGCAGCCTTTGACTCCTTCTGCTTTTCCACTTGGGGCAACTGATCATATAAACTCTCCTTATGATCCTTTTGAGTAGGAGCTTGTTCTGTGGATAGGTTGTTTAAGTCAGGATGGCAGTAGGATTTCATTTCACATCTGCTAGATCAGGTGCTTATCCTATCTCAGGATGGCCATCTAGACTTAAGATGTGTTATATTTTGTGTAGGCAGTGCCTCTAAGAGAGTGTAAATTTTGCAATTTCTTTCCCAGTTTCGCCCTCTGAAGAGCTCCATAGTAAACCATTTTTCCCCAAAGGCTAGCCTGTCGGTGAATGAAATTCGAACAGTCAGAAGAAAGTGTTTTTTTGAAATGGCATTCTAAATATTACTTAACATGTCAACACTACTGCTCAGTTTGTTACTTCAGGACAGTTGAAATATTTTGTGAACCTGTGAATGGCTTATGACAGACATCTCCAAAGG